CCCCAAAACCCCAAAACCCCAAAACCCCAAAACCCCAAAACCCCAAAACCCCGCATGCAAGCCTAATTGTTGATAATAAATTAAAATGAATGGAAGGCAGCAAAATGACTTCTTAATACGAAAAGGAAGAATCAAAAACATTGAAAAGCTCATATTTGATAATAAACGAAAAGTTGGTGGCTCTGTAAATGATAGATTCAAGACTGCAATTGCAGGTAAAATGAGGTAAGTATTCGTTCCATAAGAGCTCTCTCAGAGAATTTGAGATATTAAATTTCATACAGAAGAAGGAGTAAATCAAAGCATCAGATAGAAGGAAACAAACCTCGGGTTTTCTCCGTTGGAGATACTAACAAAGCTAATCATTCTATCCATCAGGAGGATCACCAAAGAAGTCTTGCGAGTCCTTTATATAAAAATGGAAAAATAAACCTAGATAATAGCTCATTAAAAGCTCATAATTCAATTAATACAAATGCCACAAGAATGAGGTTTAGAAATCGAGTCTTTAGTCCAGTTGAGCAAAGAAGGCCAATTTTAAAAAGTAAGAACCAGATCCAAGAAATCAGGCAGACATCTTTTGCTTCAAAGATCATTAACAAAGGAATAAGATCTAAGCCTTCATCCCCAATCCAAAACAAAGTTATAAACCTAGCCGCAAGGAATGAGAAGTTTATAAATAACAGTGCGAAATTTAATACCTTGTCCCAAAACAGGTCGAATAGGAGTCAATCTTCCTCTCCGAAAGAGACAGTGTTCTCTCAAGAGAGGTTGAACAAGTTCATACAGAATATCACTAAGAAGAAAGACATTAGGTATGGTTAAAAGTATTGGTTCCCTTCTATATTCTTTCTATGTAGTGACACAAGTAAGAGCAGGACTATGACCCAAGTAACCGAAACGGTGATAACCCTTGAAGAAGACATTGCTGACCTAGAATACAGGAAAGTAATGGCAACCAAGCTCAAGCCTAAATAAATTTGATAATGAAGGTGATAATAAGCTTCGTGAAAACCTAATATGAAAAATAAAGAAAGCGTGCGATCATTTTAAACTGTCTGATGATACTTTCTTCAGGGCTGTCTTTATTTATGATTACCAAGAAAGGGTCATATTCGACCCCAAGATGGAAAGACATGAGACTATGAAGGTGTGCCTTGATGAAATCTTCACCTTTGGAGAATCATCTGATAACGATGATAGGCAGAAACAGTACATGAAGTTCTTCGAAATCATTACTAGCCTTATGGTAGCAATGAAATATTATGACTTTGAACTTGAGACTCCAACTCTCAGGGAGATATTGAAGTATTTCAAGATAGGCAAAATGAATTTTTCCAGCAAGGACGACTCACTGGACAGTAAAAAGATTAAAGAAATTCAAGAAATTGTATTCGAAACTGTCTATGAGTACATTTGTGAGAGACAAATGGACTTGTTATTCAGGATCGATTGGCATTTGCCTATGATAAATATCAAGCATTTCAGGTGCGATTATAAAATTTGGACAAAGCACTATTTAAATAAATCTTTCTTCAATAGAGCAGAGGTAATTGTGAGAGCAGTTTTACCTCCCTCCATTAGAAGCTACCTATTAATACCAAGCATTTTTAGCATAATATCACTGCTTTTCAACTAATTTTGAATTTTTTAGTGATCACTTCAAGAGAATTATGAGTAAAATTCCAAAGAAAAATGGGGCTAATGATGAACAGGAAACGTTTAAAAGGTATGAAGTCTCCAGCTGAGATATCAGCACAAATAGCCAGTTCACCAGTCCAGGAATTCATAATATTTACGAAAATTTACAGGAAGAAATCACTGCTCTCCAGGAGGAAGTGAGTCAATCAATAGGTAAGTTATCCATAGAAAGCTGAATATTAGAAGATAGGGATTCATTGAAAATTTATGAAAGTCTGATCTCCCTCTTTGCATGCTATTCAGACTCCTATCGCTATTATTTTTGAGGAATCTTCATTTAAAGGAGGTTGTTAATCCATGTCCTATAGATGCCATCTCAAAATTGGCTCCTCTAATGCCAGATTATATTAATTACACAACAAAAGATATTGCGACAGCAGCTATGGTGGTCACTGTTAAGCATAGCATCCGGTGATTGCCTGATAAATATCAGCAAAACAATGGAAGGATTGAGAAATTGCGAATGTTATATTCACGATGGATCCAAACCCTGTTCAGTCAGTATACCATCTCCAAAGACCTTGCAAAATCGTTGATCAAAAAGATAAAAGTCTTTCTTGATCGAGTTTGCGAATAACTTTAATCCTAACCTTAACAATTTCAAGTTAAAGCTTATTGTAAAATTGACATATAGCCTTAATAAAGTTTAGGAGGAGATTTAAGAGGATTTAGAGGTGTTCTGATGAACTTAATGTAGACAGGAGTTTACTTAGGCTTTGGGATTTCTAAAGTTTGACATTTTTGAATGCAATTTAGAATAATTAAAAAGGGGTTTTGGGGTTTTGGGGTTTTGGGGTTTTGGGGTTTTGGGG